AGAAATGAAAAGGATCCAAGTAGGAAAACAAGAAGCTAAACTCTTTTTATAGATGATAAACTAGCTGTATATCAAAAACCCTTAGAGCTCATAAACACTTTCAGCAAATATAGGGTGCAAAATCAGAAACTTCTCTGACCATTAATAATCAGCTGCCTGAAGTATTAGCCCCTTGCCTGGATACAGCCTTATCTTCTCCAAAGCAGCAAACCATCAGCCAACTCTGCTCCTTCCAGGCCTTTGGCTTTTCTATTTATTTCATAGGCAGAGAATATTTGTATCATTCAGGTCAAGCATTCCCCTCTTTTTGTTGTTTTTTTCTCAGACATTAGAAAGGTAGGGAAACCATACTACAAAGCTATTGGCAAAGACTCTTAACATGTACAGGGTAATTATCTCTCTCATCTTAGTGTCCAAGGGAGAACAATTACACCTACAGATTCTAGGACAGAACAATTCTCCAAACACAGTGTCCAGGATGGACCAATTCTCCAAACACAGTCTCCAGGACAAAACAGCTCCCTATAGGCATGTCCTAATAAGAACAGCTCTCCACCTACAGACACCAGAGCACAGCAAATCTCCACCTCCAATAAGTGACCTCAAAAAGGTCACGATTTCCTTGGCTGAGTCTCTCACCAAATCATAATAACATATAATATTCATGGCTTGTGAAAGTTAACAAGAAGGACAATTAAATAAAGCAAGCAAACAATGGCATGCCTCCCCATGTGTTGACTCCTAGTGTCCTTTCTCTTTACAGCCAGCAAAGGTGGTGCCACTCTGAGTTTGTGACACCTGAAGACAGGATACTTACGTCTCCACTGCCTGGAAGCTCTCTCCATCTGTGCATTTGTGAAGCTTCCATTGCTGCACTGTATGCTATGTGTGGACATCACCTCTGCCGTACATGCAGACACCACACGCATAGCCCTGTCTTACTCTGTTAGGACAAGTCATTGCATAGCAAAGAAATTTTTCCTTTCCTCCTTAGACCTACTTGCCGGGCCTCTTTGCCTTCTGCTTGGGCTTTCGGCTACTTAATTTCTCCTCTCAACCCAGCTCAGTGACTTCTCATATTGCAAAGAGTACCAATAAGGTACAAAATCTGGAAGAGCTACCAGCGTTAAGACCTTGCTGTCTACAGGAATGTCCTTTCAAACACTTTGCCATTTGAGTCCAGGCACTTACAAATTCCAAAGGTGTGTTCCAGGGTGGAACACACAGCATTATAGCAACAGTATTTAATGGCTGATACTTGGGGCATTTTACTGTGTCCGGCTCTTTGCAAAAACAGTCAACCCGACTTATCTCAAGTAATCTTTTAATAGTTCTAGAAAGAGGAAGTTTCTCACAGATCACAGTGAGACCACAGAGCATAAAAAATAAAGATAATACATTTATGGAAGATGCAGGGCTTAACTGATAGAGTTGGGATCAGCCCCACGCAGCCCCAGGGCCTGAGACTCAGGGCTCACTGTCCCCTGAGGCTTCCCACCCTCATGACAACTAAAACACTGCTCTTCATCCTGTTCTCACGCTGACAGGTAGAATGGCTCCTTCCCAAACCTGCTTTTTCTGTTGAGGACATCATCATCTAGAAACTCTAGAAACATCTAGAAACTCATCATCTAGAAACATCACATAACTTTCACACCTCTCATAATCCTCACTCTCTGGGGCCTGATGTCCTATCTTCCCAAAGCAAGGCAGAGTCTGAGATGAGATTTGGTTTGAGAAAAAAAACGTTGGTTTAATCAAGACCAATCGAAGTCTTGCCTTTTCACTAATTTTGCAATAAACTTTTGTTTCAAAATGTTTCCAGCAATTGCTGAGCAGGTAAGCAAAAGTCCCAGTGAGAGCAACACAGTGATTACAGCTGATCACTCATTTTTCTATCAGTCTATGTGCATATATGTACCAGCAGCCTTTAGACAGATGGAGGATGACATCAAGTGCGCGCGTCACTTAGACATGAAAGTATCTTGGAGGCGAGGCCGATGGCATGTGCAGGGTCCCCAGGGATGCCCGTTCCTCAGCCTAGCATTGTGGTGGCCGGGAACTTCACACCACGCGTGTCCGAGGCTCACAATGCCGCTATCCTTGAAGAAGCAGGCGTGCGGGGTCAGTGCGTGGCCACATGTGTGTGGCAGTGCCCAGACACCTAAGCCCTGGCAGGAAGAGTGGGCCCTGCGGTGTGTGAAAGCAGTATGGACATGAGGAGCCAGCAGGATGTCAGTTGAAAACATTCAAAATAGATAAAGCAAAGGAAAAAACCCTGCAACTCTTCAACGCATGGGTCCATAGTGACAGCAATCTCATGGTGGCGTGGAACAGAATGCTGCCTTTCATAGTAGGACTTTCCCGATTATTGAATTCATAATCTGTATGTGTGGCAATTAGGTTCAACAAGGCTGATAAAAGTAGGAGAAAGCAAGATGATAACCAACTTGCCCACAGTACCCCGGGTAGAAGCTTCACAAATGTCATCTCAACCTGACACTCCACATCCTTACCATGTGCCAGGATAAATCCTGTGTGAGATCTCTGGGTGAACTTGGAGACACCAAGGCCATGCATCCATGGGATTCAACTTATTTTCCGGAGCTGCTGTTTGCATAGGAGTTACAGATATCTTTCCATGGTAGTCACGCAAGGCATAGTAATTATGCTAATGCAGACCACTGCGCAACGCAGCTGGTGTAAAAATGAGTTCTTTGGACAGCTGGTAACTGAAATCGCCCAGACCTCTGACTTTCAGAGTCTCATCTCTATAAGAGCTGCAAGGATTATCTTTTGAAGTACATTCTGTCAAGCACAGGGCTCCATTTAGAGACAACAGAGGCCTCAGGGTGGAGCGTCTCTGGTGAGAGAGAATGTGGCTGTGACGGCAGTGGGGTAGGCCTTTCTCGAACGGCAGCTCCCTGATGCACGGGAGGGTCCTGTCCTCGGTCCGGAAGGCCAGCTGATGTTCCCACATGTATGAATACGAGGGAGGCCCATCAGGCGCTAGCTTGGACTCCCACTGTGCTACGGGTGGAACTTGTTTCTCAGAAGACAACTCAGTGACTCCATGGGAGACAACCCTGGGGTGTTCTGGCAAATGCTGTCTGTCTGTGGTGGAAGGTAAGTTTCCGCAGCGCCATCAAAGGCTGTGAGACTCGCCACGTGGGCTCCTGCTAATGACATCTGTAAGGGAAGCCTCAAGCGGTTCCTGGAATGATGTGAGCGGAACTTTTGGGAAGCAGGGGGTATTTTCATCTTGCTTTTAGACACCAACTTACCCTCCATGGCCAAATTCACTTACATTTCTTCTGGCTAGGCCACATCCGCACACTTACAAGAATTCGATCATTGATTTCTCTTATGATCCAGTTATCCCAATCAATAGGAAGCTATTGTATCTTCCAAAATGTTTTATTTAATTCCCTTTAAATCTTTACTAGGCTAACTACTGAAAAATGCAAAATTTAATATAAATTTATTAATATGAGGGTAGAAGATATTTATAACCACAAAAGCATCTTGACACAGTTTGCATTTAGTAAAATATGGCTTTAGAATAGGAAAGATGTGAGGCAGCTATATTAATCTTGACTGTATAAAGTATTTAATTTACTTTATATACTTTAAAAGGTATGCAGTTTTGCAATCATAGAATAGACCTGCCATTAAAAGAAACTTTTGGAGGAAACATGAGCCTTAAAGTGGTGTACTAGTGCAATTCTATAGATGGACAATTTTCACTAGAAGGAACTAAGGATACAGTGACTCACAATTTTAATTTTGTCTCTTGTAAATTTGCAATTGAGTTAAATGCAAAGGCAACACAAAATAGCTACAGAATAAGTATTATAGATAATTGAACTTTTCCCCTAAGGCAATAAAAGAAGTACTGTGGGAGTTGAAATGGAGACAAATGAAACATAGTTTCCAAAAAGAAAGAACATCCTTGGAGGTGTAATGGCTGCGGGGAATAGGAAGGAGGGCAGAGACAAGGAAGTCCAGAGCGGAGTGAGCGGAGTGGAAGCCAGGGCAAAAGAAGGCATGGAGCCCTGGAGCCACTGCGGGAAGTCTGTAGGAGCAGTGCACAGCTCTGGACTTGAAGACTGTCACCAGTGACGGGGAGGCTGAGAAAAGTTTGAAGCCAGCCCCAGGCAAAGCTAGGGAGATAAGGCCCTACTGCCCAAACGAAATAAAACCCAGTGTGTTGGAGGGCCTGGTTCAAGTGACACAACCACCTTGCAAGAGCTGGAGCTGGGCTCAGTATCCAGTACCCGACTACCAATCAGTCTGTCAGCCAGCAATAAGCAAACAGATCAGTGTCAGACTTGAGCGCAAGGAATATGCCATCAAATAATATCTCCGATAAGATGTGAGAATAAATTCTCACGAGTACTCACCAAGTTACTTTGGAATTTCATTAAAAGCTCAATAAATACCCCCTATACTTTTGTTTATGCCCTCACAAAATAAATCTTTCAAGAAACTAAAATTTAAGGTTGGTTCTACACTTCCTTAAAGATCCAAAGAGAAAAAATAATTTCACCAGAAAGGCCCAAAATTGCAGGAAAGGCCACCAGCCTTACACCAAATTGCAGCTCAGGGCAGGTGAAATACGGTCTTCGTTTATGGTTGACTTGAAACTCGGGTGAGATGGGCATCCGGAGCTTTCTATGATTTAATGAGGATGAGCTGAGAAAGGAGGCAGTGGAGCTGAAGGAGGCTGTACGCCAGCAGGGACCCTAGAACCTGGGGCAGTTTCTTACCCCGTGACCACAGAGATGTCCAGCATTTAAGAGGAAACCATTCCTGTCAGCTCCTGAGCCTTTACCAGCATGGGGCACAGGCCTTACTCTTGTGCGCACTCCAGGGCTGACCCTGGGCACACACTAGGGCCACACACACCAGGATACCACCACTTCTTGGGCACACACACACACTCGGAGACCACTGCTTCTTGGGCACACACTGGGGCCACACACACTGGGGCACCGCACCTCTGCAGAAAGGAGCCGGGAAGTCCCAGGAGGCGCCGTTCCCAGGGCTGACGATGCAGGTCAGGGTGGCGTGACCCTCCAGGATGTAGCCCGACAGGCAGCTGTACCGGATCTTGTCTCCTATGTTGAAGCGCGAACCGTGCAGGACGCCTTTCAGGATTTCCCCGGGGTTCCCGCAGGTATGGCTGGGTAAAACTGTGGAAGAAGGGAAAAAAGGTTAAATAAAAAAGTTCTATTGGGTTCCATTTATAGGCAAAATAGACACCACATCTGAACTGTTAATGTTAGCAAATTTTTGACAGAAAAATTTTCAATTGTACCTAAAATATAATTAGTAAATGTCTAAATTATAAACAATAAATTTCTAAAACACCAACAGTAAATACCTAAAATATGGACAGTAAATGTCCTCACGTCTTGGAGTGCCTGAGCTGTAACCTTTTTTAAAACAAAAATAAATACAAGTATTTTCTTAAAGAATAAACACAGGCATACTTCCCTCTTGCAAAAACCATGTCTCTCTATGTTTAACAATGGCTAGAATCTACAGCTCATGTACTAGGCATCACGTCATCCAACAAGGTGAAACCATCTGAAAAAAAGTGCTGGAGATACAGCAGGAATAATTCCTCGTGACATGTTTACTCCCATGCTTCCAGGACAAGAACAGTTCCAGGTACATACAGCTAATTCAATCAGTGTTACAAGTATAAAACCTGCAATGAAGAATAACCTCAAAATCTTATTTATTAATCCATTAGCTTAAAGAAAAAATGAAATTGGGCATTCTTTTAACTCAAGCCTACCTCCTGCACATTGATAGCTTATGGCTCATAGCTAGATTTTTAACTATTTGTATTGACAATACAAGTTTGATGGTAATCTGCAGTTCAAACATAAGGCCTTGATTTTGTTCTTCCTGACTTTTTTATAGTGTGCCTTGATAAGACTTTCTAGACCAGGTATGGTGGTTCATGCCTGTAATCTAAGCTACTTGAGAAGTAGGAGAAGTATGACTCAAAGTCAGCCTGGATGAAAATTAGCGAGAATCTATTCCCCAAAGAAGCCAAGTGCCAGGAATTAGTGGATCAGCCTTAGAATCGTAGCTATTCAGGAGGTTGTGGTTCAAAGGCAGCCTGGACAGAAAAATGTATGAGACTATCTCTAGTTAGAACATATATATTCCACTATCTATAGATAGACATTATCCATCTATCCCCCTATGTACATATCTACTGTTATAGACATACACATAGATTTGGATACACACACGCATTTCCACTAAATATGAAGCAAGTGGAGAGTACGCACGCTCTACAAAGAACACCATATTTCACCTACTCGTCAATTCACGAGGAGAAGAACCCTTTCCCAGCAGGCTCGGTGCCCAGCAATAGCCAGAGATCATTGCTCTGCAGGGGCCTGCAGGCCTCTCCAGGGGGGAGGTCTAGGCTTGGGCAGGACTTCAAAGGTTCCTTTCTAATCGAATCTACAGATTATGTCTTTGCTGTAACATACTTGATGCTTAAGGACAACAAAATTCAGATGGACATCTCCAGCGCCAAGTTCCTGTGGGGCTGAGCCCCGTGGAAAGGCAGGAATTGTGGGACAGGAGAGTGACAGTTAGCTCTCTTCCTTAGTTCCTGATAGCCGCTTACTTACAGGAGATGTTTGAGGGATATTACTTCACAGTTAAGGTGTGAAGATGGAATGAGATATCACAGTCTACAAATATCTATTCTTTCTGACCCTCTTATAAGTTTAGTTGCAAGTATCTGTTAGCAATTCTACAGCTCTCCAATTGTCAAGACTGGGGACCCGTCCTTCTTATCTCTGTCAGTGCTTGGTGTAGAGCAGGTGCTTCAGAAATCCATCTTGGTCCCGAGAAATGATAAACACAACAATTCCTGTCATACAGATTATGTATCCTCTTTGTGTGCACAATCCCTGTCATACAGACTATGTACGCTCTCTGTGTGCACAATCCCTGTCATACAGACTATGTACGCTCTCTGTGTGCACAATCCCTGCCATACAGACTATGTACGCTCTCTGTGTTCACAATCCCTGTCACACAGATTATATACACTCTCTGTGTTCACAATCCCCTTCATACAGACTATGTACGTTCTCTGTATTCACAATCCCCTTGATACAGATTATATACACTCTGTGTTCACAATCCCTGTCACACAGATTATATATGCTCTCTGTGTTCACAATCTCCTTCATACAGATTATATACACTCTCTGTGTTCACAACTCCTATCGTATAGATTATATATCCTCTCTGTGTTCACAATCCCTGTCATACAGATTATAAATCCTCTCTGTGTTCACAATTCCTATAGTACAGATTATATATCCTCTCTGTACTCACTGTGTCCAACACACAAATCTCATAAGTATGATGCAAATAGGAAAATACCAGAATTTTAAAAAACTAATCTTCTAATAAAATATCATATATAAAATGATGAATCAGTTAATAGCTTGTAACTTTAAATTACTTTATTCTCACATTGGGAAAAAGAGGTTTGTAGGTACCAGAGCATAACATCCTTTTTTTTTTTAAAGGAAAAAGAACTTACTAAAACTACCTCTCAAAGTTTAGAGCCATTTGGTGGTGCTTTAAAATCCTGTAGCTATAACTTCATATAGTTATAATATCATAGACTTATAACATTATAAAGTTACAAATTTATGATTTAGGGATTAAAGATGTTGGATTACAGTCAATTTTATCTTTTTAATCATTTAAATTCTTAGCACAAATAATTTCTATAACCAAATATAGCTGAGAAAATGTACACCCAGTTGCAGACAGCAACATATAAACACACTCATATTACACAATGATCAGCATGATGTGACATGTCTATAATCCCAGCATTCAGAGGCAGACCTGGGAGGATTACAACTTGGAGGCCTTATCTCAAAAAGGCATCGAAGTCTGGGGAGTATCTCAGTGTGAGAAAGCCTTGTTTAGCCTTCACGAGGCGTAGGGCTCAGCCCTGCAGAAGAAATCAACGTCATTACAATCTGTGATTGTGAACTTGTGAAAAACAGCTAAGGTAATGGACTTGTACAGACATTGAAGACTCAGATACACAAAATTTGCCAGTGATCGGCGATCCCTCAAATGAGGAAAACTAATTCAAAATCAAGCAAATTCCTCTCAGCTTTTCTCCTGCCAATTTCGCTTTAATGAATCAATTTCTTTCTTTTTTACACCAGTTTTCTTAAAGATCACGAAGGTCCCTTGTGTCTGCCCCAGAACAAGTTCACACGAAGCATTTAGAAAACACTTACTGAACTCACTTGAACTCAGCTTTTAATTCTCTTTAATTCCCCTTGAGAAATAGACCCTATTTCCCATAGATGTCTCAGGAACAAATTCCTTTACAGCAGAATTCTTCACTCGGGCGGGAAGAAGGCCAGGGTGGTGTGAGCGGGTTTGTGAGAGAGCGCTGGCCTGTCCCCCTGCACAGACCCACGAAGCTGAGTCTGCACGCAGCCTCCACCAGGGAGGCAGGCTGTCTGCAACACCTGTCAGCCGGCAGAGGCGACAGTCACAATTCCAAGACTTCAGCGATCACATCAGACTTTAACCCAGCTGCTTAAATAACGGATGTCATATCAAACCCTGTGCCAGAGGAAGGGAGAAGACCACGGTGCAATGGAATGCAGAATTCGCATTCAGTACCGGGTGGGATGAAGGGCTGTCGAAGGGGCATTTGGGATCCAGCAGAGGAGCCTGGGAGGGCCGTGTGCATGCAGGAGATTGCCTCAGGCCCACTCCTGGGGAGCCGACGCCCCAGGTTTTCTCTGGGTGCTTTGTTCCTGTCACACTGTGCCTTCCGGTGGCATCCGCTGCACTTACACAGATCCTCACTGGCTGCCCTGGCAAGGGAACCCACAGAGCAGGCCCGTCAGCCGTGCTCGACAGGAAACAGGGATCGGGAGCGTCAGATGCTTCCTGGAATTCCTGCTCTCTCCAGAACCTTCCAGACTGGCATCTCTGAAGGATGGAGGTGCGTCACAAAAGGGAACTACTTGAGTCCCCCCCCCCACAGATTTAAACATGGTCTCCAACGAGACACTAACGCCGTGTGGAACGAGGTGTTGTGACACCCACAGCCTCCAGTGAGTCTGCGGCCAGGACCGCCCTGACCCCTGACCTCTGACCTCTGCCCAGCTCGGCTGGGCCCGTCCCTGTCCCTGGCACTCAGGTGACCTCACTCTAGGCTCTGCGAGGAGCCCAAGGCAGCTGAGCAGTGCACAAGCTTCAGAGACTGGGAAAGGGCAGGAAGAAAGAACAGCGTGTTCTCACACACCATGTCCCCTCCCCGGAGCCCTAGGGAATGGCCCCTGGGGGGTCAGAGCCATCTTGGAGGGGTGGCTGTCAAGAGAAAGGGCAGAAGGACATCTTCAGCCCCAATCGGGTACTTCTTCAGTCCCGATTTCCAGAAGCTCGAATGGATGGAAGAAATTGTCTGGTGGAAGTCTTGTAGCCTGTGACTCTGCTGGGTGCCCAGTGACTGGCCATGCTGTCTTCCTGCGCTGGGCACACGTGTGTGTGTGTGTGTGTGCGTGTGTGTGTGTGTGTGTGTGTGTCCCCATGTCCTCGTCTTCACCATGATCCATCATTACCTCCGGGATCGGTATGTACCAGGGGGGTAGGCAAAATAACTTTAAATTAGCAATTTATATAGGATTTGAATAATATTAAAAGAAAAAAATGTTCAAACTACATAGTGGGTCAGATGTTAATGCTATGCACAAAATAACACAAGGAGGTGATAGTCTTTCCGGAATAGTATGGGACGGTGGTTTTTATTAGGTGGTTAGGGCCACTTTAGTGAGAAGGAGACCATGAGTAAAACGATGTGAGGAGGGTGAGAACTCATTCATATTATTATTTTTTTGGGGGGGGAGGTCCAGTCCTGGGGTCTGAACTCTGGGCCTGGGCGCTGTCCCTCAGCTCTTCAGCGCAAGGCTAGCGCTCTACCACTTGAGCCACAGCGCCACTTTCAGCTTTTTTCTTGTTGCTTATGTGGTGCTGAGGAATCGAACCCAGGGCCTTGAGCATGCAAGGCAAGCACTCTACCACTGAGCCACCTTCCCAGCCCCTCACTCATATTATTGAAAGCATCAAGTCTAGTTCTCATTTACGCATTTCTGCGAAAATTCAC